GGAAAGAAGTGTTGACCACAGGCTGGGAAGAGTAGACTGACGGGAGTGGGTTTGGGTCTGTGACTTGAGGAAGACGGCTTGGCTTGTGACTGTACCCCTATGCTGAAACCCAGTGGTTCAGTTCCTCACTCTACCAGCCTTCCTGGGGGAACATGGGCAAAGCCTTTCACCTCTTCATGCCCAGCAAAACGAAGACAATGGTCCTTTTTGTGTGTGTCTGGTCTTTTAAGCCTCAGTTCTTCGAGGCAGGGACTGTGCCTGTGCAGCACCCAGCACAATGTGGGGCTGATCTTGCTTGGTTGGTGCCTGTAGGTGCTGCTGTTATCATAGTATTACAGATAGAAACAGCATAGAAAGGAGCAGGAGGGTGCAATAAAAGCTGAGGTTTGGCCATGTCTTAACACAGTGTTTCCCAAAGTATTTTGTGGATTCAAGGGGCATCACCTGAGCTGTGGAGGGGGGAGCCCAGGACTGCAATAATAGGGGGATGCAAGTCCAGATTGAGGGGCATCTGCAGAGCTGGCTAGGGGAGAAAGCCAAGGACTGGGATAACAGTGGAATTTGGGCAGACCAACAGGCCTTGCAGTTATTCCCAAAGGTGCCAGTTTTCATTTAGAAAGAATAAGACTCCAGCTGTTCTGACTGGGAAGAAAACCTTGTCAATGTAAACCAAGTGTAGCTGATGGAGCCTGAGTTTGCAGAGAGTCTGAGACAAAGGGTCTGAGGTGTGAGCTGCCCTGCTGGGTTCACTGGGCATGTGCTCACATGCCCAAAATGCCACGTTGAGTGTCAGCATTGTTAATTTTTTTCCTGACATGCTCTGACCAGCAGTGAGAGTTTGGGGAGCATCATTTCAGGTGTAAGATATGGGTGGGCCTTTAACCATAAGGTGAAGCTATTAGTTGCATTTGCCTGAAGTGGGTGCCCATCCTTCAGAGGTTGGGGAAATGGGTGGTAACGCCAGGCCAGAGATGTAGATTTAATCAGGAAATGGGGACCATCTGCAACATATTTCCTCCAGAGCTTCCCTCAAATTCAGCTGCTGCAGCGCGGGTGCAGAGGAGATGCTCTGGCAGCCAGAACTCCATGCTACCTGTAGGCACTGACAGGCCCTGAGCCAGCTGGGAAAAGAGCCAGCCAGTTCAGCAATGGGAACTGTGGGGGGCCCCAAAGGTGTCTGGCTGCAACTGGGAACATGACACCAGAATGGGAAAGAGAGAGGGCCTGCCCCCTCTAGTGGGGATGTGCTAGGAGAGGGGAGGGTGAGATGAGAGTAGGGTGGCTACTGTCCTGTTTTCAACCAAGCACCTGGTCAAAAAGGGACCCTCCCTAGCCCAGTGAAAATGAGTGAGTGGGGGTGGGAAGAATGAGCCACAGAAGTGGAGGGGATGGGGCTTTGGAGAGTTGCTGGGGGAAGGCCCTGGTTTTGTTCAGTCAGAAAGTTGACAACCTTAGATGTGAGTGAGGGGCTGCGCTGGAGCTCTTACCCCTCCCCGTCACCCAAGACAAAGGGGATTCAGTCCAGTTGGCCCTGGGACAGCTAGATGTGAGTGAGGGGCTGCGCTGGAGTTCTTACCCCTCCCCGTCACCCAAGATCAAGGGGATTCGGTCCAGTTGGCCCTGGGACAGTGTGCTCACTGCACTCCCCCAAGGGGGTAGAGGCTCCTGGAAATAGGGAGAGATTGCAGGCAGGGGAGCTAGGAGAGCTCTGCGCCCTCAGGCTTCCGGGCCTGAACTGACCCCCAGCTGGGGGAGAGGGAAGAATTAGGCTCAGTGCAGTGAGATGCATTGGGCAGCTTTCACCATTCATAAGAAATAAGAGACAGAATATCCGTCTAGGACCCATTAGTCTGATCCAACCAGCTGTCTGAGTGCAGTGAGATGCATTGGGCAGCTTTTACCATTCGTAAGAAATAAAAGACAGAATATCCGTCTAGGACCCATTGGTCTGATCCAACCAGCTGTCTATGGGGAGAGATACTGGCTTACATGAGCCCTTTGGTCTGACCAGTAGTAGCTGGGCTGGGGGGAGAAAGGGAATATCATGCTGGGTGGGCTGGTTGGTCCCATCTGGGCTTGGTAGGAAGAGAGATACTGACCCACAAGCCTGCTGGCTGATCCAGTGTAACAGCAAATGGGGGTGGGGTACTGGGCTACGGGACTTACAGCTCTGATCCAGCATGGCAGGGAGAAGAATGGAGGCTAGACCAGCCTTCTGAGTTGATGGGCACAGTGCAGCAGGGTGGGGCAACCCCAGGCTAGCTGGGCCCTATGGCTGGTTCTCCTGGTAGTTCTCTAGCTGGTCAGCACCAAGGTAGGAGCACATGTCCCCCAAATCACCTCCCCCCACATGCACAACACTGGGGGAAGGCGCTGACTGCAGCTTTTGAGTCTTCCTCGCTTTAATGGGCTGCCTGTTTCCTCCCCTGAACTGGGGCCAGCTCCACTCTGGGCCCATGTTCCAATGCTCGCTCTGCCGTGCCAAACAGGCAGGGAGGGGCTGCCAGAAGGTTCACTGCAGGGGGCTGGGAGGGGGAGGACAGTGGGAGGAGGGAGATAGGAGACGGGAGGAGGGGCTAGGGGGAGAGGAAACCAGCAAAGTAGTGGGAAGAGGAATGGGCCAGGAAGGTGCAGAGGGGGAGGGGAGGGGGAGGCCAGAGAAGAAGGAAACAAAATCCCCTGACAGGTGACTCCTTGACCTGGCCCTTGGCCTGGCTCTGCTGTCCAGCCCCTCCCCATGGGGTTAGAAATCTGTGGGCTCTGCCAACCCCAGCTCTGGAAAATAGCTCTGTGAGCAGCATGACACACTTTTTTGATTAAGAGCTGGCAGGAGTGCACACCGGCCCTCAAGCTGCTGGCAGGGTGCAGAGGAGATGAAAGGGAGGTGGGGAGAGGGGAAGGGGCCTGCTTGCTGCCTACCATCCCTTGCCCCACTCTTCACCCCCTCCGATTACTGAAGTTCCAGTGGGCTGTTTTACACCATGTCCAGCACGTTTCTGTTATTTAGGTGTGAGGGGGCTATGACGACAGACTGGCCTTAGTCAGTCAATCTGGAGCTCATATAACTCATTAGCAAGCTACCAGCCTATTGATTGCTTGTCAGGGACATTGGGGGCAGATGGAAATCTCATGCTATGCAGTGACAGTCTGATGCTATCTCCAGTTCATTTGACACTATTCCCATCATCCCCTGTTTAAAAGTACAGGAGCAAATTGCATGTCAATGCTGTCATGAGCCAGGGATGTATGAGAAACTCTGTTGTCATCTGTTGGGCTGAATCGGAACTGGTCAACTGTGTGTCATAGACTCTGTACTTCTGGTAGCAAATGGGGATTCTCCATTAGCCTAGTGGCCTACCCTTGGGCTTCATCAGTAGGAGGATCCAAGTGCTTTACCGACTGAAGTGGTGATGTTCAGAATAGCCATATTGTCCATGGAGTTCTGGCTGGTCCTGGCTTAGTTAAAACAGCTGAGATATAGCTGCCTCTGGGGGGATGCAGCAGCTGTTAATACAAGGATCCCTTGTCTGGTGCCAAGATGTAGCCACCTCTGGGTTGGGGCCCAGCAGCTGTATAAACAGGGATTACTCATGCAGCTCTGGAGTGGGGCATGAAGCTGTTGATCAGCTGTGATGCTGCCTAGGAGAGGTGATGAACATGGCTCCATCTCCAGCAGAAGTGCAATAGGTGCAGGGAGGCAGAATGGAATTGCCCAGGTTGGGATTGGTCCAGGGCATGGCATGAACACCTGACAGGCAAAGTGCCGCAGGTTGCTCTTTAATGAAGCGTGCAAGTGGCCAGGGCCTGGGCTTTATGTTTCATGGGTGATTCATCGCAGGTGAGAATCACCTTCCTGAGCAGGATTCACGCACCAGCACAAGTAATGGGCACATCCCCTCTGTGGCCAACAGCCAGCAGCCTACGCAGGCGTGTCTCCCTCCTCAGCTCCTTCCTGCCAAGCCCAACTGAGCTGCAGTGAGACACTGGAATGCTGCAGGGTTCTGGAGCCTGAAACCAACATGCTCTCGAACCCCTAAGCCTACACACCCACCACCTCTCTGTGCCTGAAATCCCCAAGAGCTCCAACCACCCGGAATCCCTGACAGCCCCTGTGCCCCTGCAGCACCCACCACCCCACGCCTCCCATGGCCCCGAGCCCAGGATGAGCCGAGCATCAACCCAAATCACACCTTCTGAAGCACAAGGGCAGCCTTTACCTTTGACTCTGAACCCTCTGACACCCCCTGCCTGTGTGGGCTGAGACACAGGAGAGATACTCAGCCCTGGACTGGGTAGGTGGCCGCGCTGGGAGGTGGGAGTTGGAGACAGCGAAGCACGCTTGAAAAGGCTTTTTAAACCAGCCGGGCCTCAGCTCCTCTGAAACTTGCAGCATCTGCCTCTTGCTCCCAGCTCTTCCCTGAGTGTGCTACAGCCTCCATGGCTCATTCAAAACAGGTGTGTGAGACACCCATTAAAATACCTGGCTGAGCAGCTGGGGTTGGCGGCCGTTCAGGGCGACAGGGAAGAGAATGTGAGACAAGGTGTGAGAAATGTACATCCTGCCTCGCTGGGGCGCTGGGCTGGGGAACCCGCCTGGCTGGCCCCGGCGAGTACCTCCCACGTGCCTGTCCTCAGCCCCCCAGCCAGAGCACGTTCAGACCCAACCTCAACACAGCCCTGGGGAAGAACAGTGGGGTGACAGCTCCGGGGACAAATTCATGTCACAGCACCCCCTGCTGGAGAGGGCAGGGCGAGGCAGCCACTGGTTCCTCCTCCTTCCTAGTGTTACAGCACCCCCTGCTGGGAAGGATGGAGCTGGACAGAGGAAGCGCCAACCTCTCACCTGTCACAGTGCCCCCTGCTGGGGAGGGCAGAGCTGGGCAGTCACAGGCTCCTCCTCCCTAGTGTCCAGGCACCCGCTCAAATGAGGTAGGCTATGCCCTCTCCTGTGTCACAGCACCCCCTGGAGTCCCCTGAGCTGGTCATTGTGTTCCCTGCAGGAGATTCTTGGGGGATCTTTGCCTTCCTGTGCGCTGCATTCTGGAACCTGCCCGCAGTCCCCGCCCTGAACAGCACAGAGGAGGTGGGTGCTGGCCAGTCCATCCAGAAGACTTATGACCTCACCAGGTATCTGGAACACCAGCTACGCACGCTCGCCGGCACCTATGTGAGTACAGGGAGGGCTATGGACCAGGGGGCAGCCCTGCAACCCCACCTCCG